CAGAGGCCCCAGCGACGTCAGACCTCCCCTCGCCAGCACCTCCAGAACCAGCAGGACCACCGTGTCCAGAACCGTCAGCTCCAGCGTCGTCAGCTCCAGCAGCTCCAGTACCGCCAGGAAGAGCACCCCCAGACGCAGCAACCCCAGGCTCCGTAGGCTCAGTAGCAGCACCCCCAGGCTCAGTACCCTCAGGCGCAGTACCCCCAGGCTCGGCACCCCCAGACTCCGTACACGCAGGCTCAGCACCCCCAGTCGTAGCACCCCCAGGCTCAGCACCCCCAGGCGCCGAACTCCCAGGCACAGTACCCTCAGCTCCAGCACCCGCAGTCCCAGCACTCCCAGGCCCAGCACCCGCAGGCTCAGCACCCCCAGGCTCAGCACTCCCAGCAGCACCACCTGCAGCAGCACCTGAGTCACCTGTGACCTCGACAGGCTCAGCGACGGGAGGAGGGTCTACCTGAGAGACACCTGAAGGAGCAGGACCCTGAGGGGGAAGGGGGTCTACCGGAGGGGGACCAGGAGCAAGGAAAAGCGGCGGGGGAGGGAGGGGGGCAGTGCGGTAGGGGAAGAGACGGTAAAAAGGGACCGACTCGTCAAAGGTGACGTCCTGAGAGGCGAAGACCCGGCGCGAGGTGGGGTGGTAAAACTGCCAGCCCGGCGCGTCAGGGACAAAGCCAAGGAAGACACAGGGAAGCGTGCGGGAGGAGAGCTTGTCCGCGGACATATCGCGGACAAGGGCACGAGCACCCCACACCCGGAAGCGCGACGCATCGCCAACCTCCCCCGTCCAACGCAGTGTGGGCGAGGTCTCCGGCAAGGAGACACGGGGCCAGAGGTTGAGCTGATGCGCGGCGTACCGGACAGCAAACGGCCACAGAAAATGGGGAGCCGCCGCGTGGACCAAGGAGGTACGAGCGACCTCCATGACCAGGCCAATGCGGCGCTCAGCAACCCCATTCTGCTGTGGGGAGTCCGGAAGCGTGAAGGTCTGCTCGATGCCCTCCGCCTGACAGAAGGTCCTCAAGAGATCGGAGGAAAACTCACCACCTCTGTCAGAGTGCAGACGCAGGACAGGAAGATCCGTCCGGAAACGGCGGCGGAGCTGGAGACGAACTGTGCGGATCCAAGGGATCAGAACAGCAGGGACCTCACCCTTGGTGCGCAAGGGGAAGACCGTGGTGTAACGCGAGTAGTCGTCGACAACCAGCAAAAAGTACCGCTCACCGCCCTGACCACGAACGCGGGCTGGGCCCCACACGTCCAGGTGGAGGGTCTGCAGAGGAGCCTCTGTGGGAGGGAACAAGGAGGAGTGAGGAGCGGCGCGCTGCCGCCCCTCGACGCAAGGAAGGCAAGGCGGCGCAGGCGAGGCAGGGAGGGGAGGGAGGGACCTGGGAAGACCAGACACAAGGCTGCGACGGTGCATGCCACGGAGGCGTGGCAAGGAGGGGTGACCCAGGCGGTGGTGCCAGAGAAGAGTCTGGTGCGACAGGGAACGACACTCACAGGCGTGGGCCACCAGACCTGACGCGGACACCTGACCGACAGCAGCAACCTGAGGAGACGCAGTGGTCAGTGTGTAGAGACTCGACCCCGGCCGACGGGTAAACGTAGCCAGGTGACGGCCGGTCCTGGAGCACGTGCAGATCGCCACACGCTGTCCTCCAGGGGTAAAGGTGTCAACCCACTGATCCTGGATGACAGCGTTGCTCACCAGGTTCGTCGAGAACGAGGGGAGGTGGAAACCCGACAACGAGCCAGACGGAACCGCCGGACAAGGGAGCACAGTGGTGGACTGGGCAAGGACTGGGCCCCCAGAGGGGTCAGCCAAGGAGACTGGGACCGGTGCAGGAAGCGGTGTGAGCTCAGTACTGTCACGAAAGAAACAGCGGGAAGCACCTGAGTCAAGGGTGAAGGTGTGACAGGCCTCAGCCGGTGCGGTACCTGAGAGAGCAGTCTCTGTGGGTGCTGTACCTGAGAGAGCAGACTCGCAAACAGCCGGGACAGCACTGGAGGGAGCAAGTACAGGGGGCACCATACCAGAGAGAGCAGACTCACTAGTACCCAGGACAGCGGGCTCTATACCTGGGTCAGGCGGCACACACAAGTAACAGTCTCCCTCGGCACTAACAGTCAATGCATACATGGCAGCAATAATAGCATCATAGTCAAGAGCAAAGATATCAACACCAGCCCTCATGAGCTCAGCCCAGCGGGGGCGCTCAACATCCTCGCCCATCTCCTCACGCCAAGCGTCGTCAAGGCGGGAGGTACGGGGTGTGGAACCTCCCACACGTCTGTCCCTTGCGGTCACCTGTGCGAATGACATAGGAACAGCGGCCACTGCCCCCCGACGTCCCACGCTGAGCAAGCCACTCACGAAGCTGTTGGGTCGTCTGGGGACGCTGCTGCTGCTGGGAGCTCTGGCCCGAGCCAGTGCCTCCACTCCGACCTCCGCCGCCACCACTACCACCGCTCCGACCGCCACCGCCACCACCGCCACCACCGCCACCGCCGCCACCGCCGCCGCCGCCACTACTGCCACTGCTTCCTCCGCCGCCCCCGCCTCCACCGCCGACCCCACTCCCACCAGCGCTCCCGCCACCGCTCCCTCCAGCACCGCCTCCCCCCCCACCTCCCCCACCTCCTCCCCCCCCAGCGCCACCCCCGCCACCCTTGCCCCCCTTGCCCTTGCCGGTGCGGCGCCTCCCACCAGGAGCAGAAGCAGCGCCAGCAGACTCAGCACCAAGGAAGTCAACAGCAGCAGCAGTAGCGTAGGAGGGAGCGAGGGGAGAGGGAGAACACCCCTCAAAGATGGGGGTGCGAGGAGCGCCACGAGCAGCACCGACAGCGACAATGCTCTTTTCGGCCGCTAGCAGCTGCTCCTCTAGGAGGGCGACTGTGAGCTCAGTGGGACAGCGAGCAAGGAAGTGGTCTCGAACTGAGCTGAGGGTGTCAGGGAGACGGGTGACTATGAAGTGGAGTGTCCAGTACAGTGGAGGGGGATTCTTAGCGCAGAACTCGGTGGGAAGGGCGGCACGCAGGCGAGCATCACTAGTGCGAAGGTGAGTGATAAGATCGGCGACTGTAGCAAAGGTGGACAGCTCAGGGAACAGGTACGGCAGCATGAGGCGGCTAAGCTCGGCTGTGGCAGGCGAGGAGTAGCGAGCAATGACAGCATCGTACAGGGCCTTAGCGGATTTGCAGTCGCCAAAATGCTCGAGCTCAGCTAGCGGCAGGTGACTGCGAATGGCTAGGCGAGCAGCTGCGTCACGAGTCTGCCAGTGGGAACGAACACTAAGCTCAGCTGTGGCAGGAGGGGCAGGTGCAGCACCAGACGCGTAATCATAGAGCGACACATGCTCCTTGCTATCGCTCAGAAGGAACAGCTGCAGGTCGTCCAGCCAAGTGGCGAACTTCACAGGGCGGCCCTCAGCATCGAACGACAGCACGCGGATGGAAGCCATAGCGACAGTGCGACTGAGCAAAGGAAGCTGCCGCAGCGCTGCAGGTAGGTAGCTCGGCGGGAAGCGCGGCGGGCGGGCGACGCGGCGAGCGGGCAGTGCGGGGGGCGGGCTGCGAAGCGGGCAGCGCTGCAGGCGGGAAGTGCGGCGGGCGGGCTGCGAAGCGGGCAGCGGGGCGGGCGGGCGACGCGGCGAGCGGGCAGCGCGGCGGGCGGGCTGCGAAGCGGGCAGCGGGCGGGCGGGCGACGCTGCAAGCGGGCAGCGGGCGGGCGGGCGACGCTGCAAGCGGGCAGCGAGGCGGGCGGGCGACGCTGCGAGCGGGCAGCGCGGCGGGCGGGCTGCGAAGCGGGCAGCGGGCGGGCGGGCGACGCTGCAAGCGGGCAGCGAGGCGGGCGGGCGACGCTGCGAGCGGGCAGCGCGGCGGGCGGGCGACGCTGCGAAGCGGGCAGCGGGCGGGCGGGCGACGCTGCAAGCGGGCAGCGGGCGGGCGGGCGACGCTGCGAGCGGGCAGCGCGGCGGGCGGGCTGCGAAACGGGCAGCGCGGTAGGCGGGCGACGCTGCGAGCGGGCGGCTCGGCGGGCGGGCGACGCTGCGAGGGGCGCGCGAGGGCGCTAACGAGAGGCGCACGAGGGCGCTAACAAGGGGGCGCGAGGGCGCTAGCGAGGGCGCGCGAGGGCGCTAACGAGAGGCGCGCGAGGGCGCTAACGAGGGCGCGCGAGGGCGCTAACGAGGGCGCGCGAGGGCGCTAACGAGGGCGCACGAGGGCGCTACGAGGCTAGGGCACGGGGTAGCGTGGTAACCGCATGCGAGCGGTGGTGGGCCCTTAAAAAAAAAACGGTCGGTAGGTCCTAGGGACCTCCTGCTCTGAATACCATGTTAACAGAACTAGGCAAGAATGGGTGCATTGAAAGAAACAGTTGGGTACAAGTAGCTAACCCTAGTTGGGTTTGTACCCTGTATTGGCTACCCCACTACAGCCTACCTACATATAAATAACACATTACAACTTAACATAAACACCTTGCCTCATGGTGTTTAGGGTTGATGCCCCCTACGTGGCATACCATCCATGAGGGTTTTATTTTTTTTGTTCCGAGCTGCGCGTTTGTTTTTTTTAATGGACTCGACGAATATCCCGTAACATAAAAAAACATGTATTTGTGGACTCAAATGGGGAAACGGAGAAAAAATATGCCCCAAGGTATTGGACGCGAGCGCGGAGCGATGCGCTGTCAAAGCCACTGCCCATTGGAATTGGAAACTAGAAAACACGGCGGTCTGTCATTTCCTCGAGCATCCAGCTCTGAGATCTGAATCCCGGGTAACAGCAACAGGGAGAATGTGTACCGTACATCAGATAAGGATTGATTCAATACAGCATAACAGATGTACACGGCCTGCATGTGCATAACTCATCACATCACCACCTCCAACACCACATCATATGTGGCACACAAATACGCAGCGGTCAGTACCCAAATCCAACCAGGTATAAAAACACACAGCACAGCACCACCACCACCACTCCTTGCCTCCTCCTCATCTCTTCCCACCTCTTTTCACCTGCAACGACCGCAGCCGCGGCCACCGCACCAACCCCTCCTTCCAGTACCCATGCCACACGCGGCCATAGTTAACACTAGAGCCCCCTGTTGGGTCCGCCCACACGCGCACATCCATATGCAGTGGCGAGTCCCCGTCAAATGTGACGATGCGCGGGTGAGGGTGGTACTGCCTCAGCCTCTGATTGTACCGCAGGTTGACCGCGTACGCGTAAGGCATGCGGTGTTGCGGGGATTCATAGAACCACGTGCCATAGTATGCATTCAGGAACAGGTCTAGATACTCCGTGCTGCTCCCATTCCCCCCGCTCCCATTCCCCCTGCTCCCCCCGCTCCCCCCGCTCCCGATGCTCGCCCGGTCTTGCCGCACCTGCAGCATCCGAGACAGCACCTCTTGGTTCGGGCGCAGCAGCATGACTCTCGTGGAGAACATGTCAGGAGGGAAGCGCAGCGGGGGGGCGGCGAAGGGCTGGAAATCGGAGAAGACAAGCTGAATGTTGGTGGCGAAGAGAGATAGCACGTCCACATAGAGCACCCGGTCGAAATCCGTCTGGTTCCACACCTGCAGCACTGACATCTCCCCCTCCTCCTCCTCCTCCTGTCCCTTATCCTCCCCCTTCTCCTGGCCCTCCTCCTGGCCCTCCTCCTTGTCGTCTCGCCCTGCGCGGCCCACCGGGGGGACCACCCGCACGTGGTCGAACAGAGGCTCGAGGAGTTTGCGGTGGGAGGAGGGGACTGACGGGAGCACGAGCAGGAGGGAGGGGACGCGGGAAGGGCTGGGCGGGTGGTGCTTGTTGTAGGACATCGCCCAGGGGACAGCCGCATGGTGGTTGCGTGCAGACACCACTGTCGCCACCACCATTCGATTCCCCCTGCCGCTGCTGCCGCTTCCGCTGCCGCTGCCGCTCGTGCCCCCTGTCTCTGTGGCTGTCTCCCCTGGACCTTCCACGGCGCTCTCCGTCATGCTTGGTCTCACCCACTCAGCAGCACGCGGCTTCTTCCCCGGCTCCTCTGCTTCGTAATCCGCTGCGTTCGGCAGCCCTGCAGTGAGCGAGAACCCACTGCTGCTGCCACTGCTGCTGCTGCTCCTCAGCAACACTCTCTCCTCCCGCCCCGGGCCTTCCCCTTGCTCCTCCCCCCGCTGCTCCCCCCGGTCCTCCCCCCGCTCCCCCCCGCCCTCGCCTCCACCCCCGCCGCTCCCCCCCTCCCCCCCGCTCACACCCCCGCCCCCCGCATCCAGCGGGAACCAGCAGTTATCATACAGCGCGCGGGACACATTATACCAGATCCTCAGCCACACCGCGTACGGCTGCTCCCCATTCACAAAGCACCAGTGGCACCCATTCGGACCCGCAACAGGCCGGTTCGAGCCCATACCAGCCGGCTTACCCCAGGGCCCGCCCAAATGCGCCACCATAACCGGTCCCATGATTTCATGTGCTCGGTCGACGTCGTACCAGGGCGGAGGGGGTAGTTGCGGGGGTAGATGAGCATGGCGTTGAAGCGGTAGGGCAGGCGGTGCGAGGAGGACATGTTGGCAAAGCCCGGCCAGAAGCGGTTGAGGTAGCCCTGGTCCGCGTTGTCTGTGGAGCCGAGGATGTCTATCTTTGCCACGAGAGACTTGAACGTTCTCTGCTTGGAGGGGTGCAGTGCAGGTGGGTGCACGAGGGGCGGAGGTTTGAGCATTCACAGAAGCGGTTGAGGTAGCCCTGGTCCGCGTTGTCTGTGGAACCCAGGATGTCTATTTTGGCTACAAGAGACTTGAACGTTTCCTGCTTGGGAGGGGAGGGATGTGGGGATGTTAGGTTAGTGGTTGGTGGGGGGAGGTGGGGTTGGGTGCAGGAGGGAGGGTTTTGAGAAAGACAGAAAACGGCCTCTTAGGGCCCACATATTGGCAAAGCACGGCCAGAAGCGGTTGAGGTAGCCCTGGTCCGCGTTGTCTGTGGAACCCAGGATGTCTATTTTCGCCACGAGAGACTTGAACGTTTTCTGTTGGGCGGGCGGGCGGGCGGGCCGGCCGGCGGGAGAGGGGTGCAGCTGAGTGTTTGGAGACCTCTCACAGCCAGCCCAGCACGCCTATGCTGGCTGGCCTCCGAAGATGTGATGCGAGCATCGCCTGTGCAAGAGGGAGGCCAGAGAATTTAACAAAAAAAAAGGGCCTGTTAAGTGAGTGTGTGCATGTACAGTTACACGTGCATGTGCACATGCCTACATGCAAGCACGCACCTGGGAGGGCTTGAGCACGAACAACCAAACGGCTCCTCTTTCGCTCAAACAGGAAGTCCAGATTCCCCACCTTCTCGTACTGCTCCATGCTTGGGGACGTGCTCCAAATGTGTGCGTGTGTAGGGGTGCGGAGTGCGCACGCACACGCCTACAGGCACGCACGCGTGACGCACCTGCGAGGGCTTCAGCACAAACATGCCGCTGTTGAACGCCTCCGTAAAGTAGCTCGGTACTCCCGTCGGCTCCTCCCGCTCAACAGAAAGTCCAGATTCCCCAACGCCATCGCATCCACATCCATGAAGACCACCCACTCATACTGCTCCATGCTTGAAAAGGTGCCCCAAATGTGTGTGTGTGTGTGGGAGGCGGAGGAGGGCGGTGGGGTGCACACGCACATGCCTACATACATGCACGCACGCATGCACGCATGCATGCACGCACCTGAGAGGGCTTCAGCACGAACATGCCGCTGTTGAACGCCTCCGTAAAATAGCTTGGCACACCCGTAGGCTCCTCTCTTTCAAACAGAAAGTCCAGATTCCCCAACGCCAACGCGTCCACATCCATGAACACCACCTTGTCGTACTGCTCCATGCACCACGCCTGCAGCTTCGCAAAGTGCTTCGCGCCGTACTTGCTCGGGACCAGCGGCACCGGGAGGACGAGGTCAAAGTGGTGGAGGAGGATGGGGAGGTGGAACAAGGGGTCGTCCATTGCGGTCATGAGGACTATGTGGTGGTGCGTGCCGGTGCGGCGGAGGGCCGTGCACCAGACGAGCGCGGACATGACGTAGCTGGGGGAGGTGATGAGGGTTGTGTAGGCGAAGCGCGATGAGGAGGAGGGGCGGGGTGGGGGGTCGGCAGGTGTGGCGTGGGCTGGGCAGTGGGAGAGGTCCAATGGAGGCTCCTCGCCCTGGTGGGAGGGGGAGTGGGGGGGGGAAAGGAGGGGGAAGGAGTGGGAGGCAGAAGGTGAGAGAGGGGAGGCAAGGGTTTTTGAGGCAGGCTGTCATGAGGAGAGAGAGAGAGAGAGAGAGAGAGAGAGAGAGAGAGAGAGAGAGAGAGAGAGAGAGAGAGAGAGAGAGAGAGAGCGGTGCACCAGACGAGCGCGGACATGACGTAGCTGGGGGAGGTGATGAGCGTGGTGTAGGCGAAGCGCGCGGAGGAGGGGCGGGGTGGAGGAGGGTCGGCGGAGGAGGTGGAGTGGGCTGGGCAGTGGGAGAGGTCCAATGGGGGCTCCTCGCGCTGGTGGGGAGGGGGGAGGAAAGGGGGAAGGAGAGAAGGGCAAGCAAGAGAGTTTCTGAGGCGGTTAAAAAAAACGTCTCAGCTCTTGGTGGGGGTTGGGAGGGGGTGGCGTGGGCTGGGCAGTGTGAGAGGTCCAATGGGGGCTCCTCGCGCTGGTGGGGAGAGGGGAGGAGAGAGAGGCGGAAGGGGAGAGAGAGGGGCAGCAATGGGTTTTTGGGGTGCGCTAGGTATCGTCTCCGTTCTTGGAGGGGGGTCGGAGGGCAGATGTGGGCTGGGCAGTGTGAGAGTTCAAATGTGGGCTCCTCGCGATGATGGTAGGGGGGAGGAAGAGGGTGGGGGATAGGAGAGGGTGGGGGAGAGGAGAGGAGAGGAGAGGAGAGGAAGAAGGAGAGCGACGGGCAGCAAGGGAGCTCCTGAGGCGTTTCAAAAATCGTCTCAGTTCTTGTAGTAGCGGGGTCGGAAGGGGCAACGTGCGCTGCGCAGATTGAGAGGTGTGATGGGGGTTCCTGGGGGATATGCGGAGGGGGAAGGACAGGGGGAAGGGCGGGGAGGGGCAGCGAGTGAGGGGAAGCGGGGGTTGGGATGGAAGGAGCCGAGGTTGATAGATGGTCGATCGTGCTGACGGGTGTGGTGGGAAGAGCTAAGGGAAGTTAGAACGTGAGAACAGCAGGAATCTATGGCTGTGCGTTGCGATGCGTTGCGAGAACGTATGCAGGTCACGGCGACGATTACCCTGCCGTGTCGGCTGCGCACGAGATTAGCGCACGCGCGATGACGATTAACGGTACGCGGATTAGAGGAATGAGACATTCTAGAGGGGAATGCGAGGGTGGTCTAAATCGGGCACGTGTGGAACACGTGTCGTGCGCGCGCACCTGCCGCCATTGGAGCGGGTCGACGGCGAGAAAGAGCACGACGGCGAGGAAGAGCGACACGGACGCCTTGAGGATGAGCGCGTGGTGGCGGTACAGCAGGCGAGGCAGAGACGCCGCGACTCGCGGGGCCATTGCACGGAACGGATCACAGGTAAGTGAAGGGATTGTGTTGTGACGCGGCGGTTTGGACCTGATTGATCTGGGCTGGGAGTCTAGTTTGTCCACTTTGTTGACAAAACATCGCTTAACCGACAACGCACTCTGTTTGTACCTACGTCACCTGATTAATCTGTGACGTACATTTGCAATGTATTCGATTAATAAAACTAAGGCGTTTTGAGTTAGATTTCTATCTGTTATAAATCGCAGGCATCTCAGGCCTGCAACCTTTTATGATCGGTACTGTTCGGTCTTCTTGCAAAATTCTTCTCAGACACAAAATATATTACCCCGCATAAAAGCGCGGGTGCGCTTATAATAAATCAATGTTTTTTGGGGGGGTGCGCTTCTAATTGAGTCGTTTGTATAAGCGCATGCGCTTAAAAAATGACAAGTATAGATTTATAATATTTGAACACCAAATTGCAGATCTCGCGCTGGGTTTTTCAATCGAGTCGAAGTTGTTACGAATAGTAATACTTGATTATTACTGTGCACTCCTCACCGCAGCAAGAGAAGCACGCTGTATCGAAGATGAACGCGAAGCGTCAGACGGTTGGAATTGAATCGAAGCGTCGGACGGTTACAGCACATCTGGACCGTCGGAGCAGACGGCATCGGACAGCTGCAGGCAGGATGGTTTTGGCGGGAACAGTTACGAAACTGTACGCGCCGCACGGTTGGGGATGTATTTGAATAAGGGAATGTACCCCTTAGAGTACATGGCTAGTTAGGTCGTTTCGTATTCCCCTGTATCATCTCAAGCATATCAAAAATAAAGACAAGTACCTGTTTTGACGGCAGAGACTTCTATACCTGGAGCTTCGAGTCCGACTCTTCATCAGCCCAAGGACTCCGTCTCTTCGAGCCGACTACTCCAGGAACTCCTGGAAACTAAGATGACCGCAGGGGAGAAGGTCAACAACTACCTTAATCGCTGTCGGAGCCTTCGCGATCAAATCGTGAAGTTGGGAAGCTCGATTTCAGAGGAAATCTTCATTAATATCGTGCTTCAAGGGCTCGGCCCAGAGTGGCGGCCCTGCAAGGCGCTTCTCCGACAGCAGGGGGTCATCTCGGAGGCCGCCCTTTGCGCCGCCCTTCTCGTCGAACAGAGGGATATGGATCTATCAAAGTAACTAGGCAAGAATGAATGAAAGGAGAGAGGGGTTTCACTAGCAGCAGTTGGGGTACATATAGCAAACCCTAACTGGGTTGTACTCGCTATAGAGCACCCCACTACAGGCTAGACAATAATAACATTCTGACAGGATCAGCAGCGACCAGCGCCGCGACGAGAACGCGAACGGCTCGCCTTCTACGCCGACAACACCAAAGAGCGAAAACCACGGCGCCTCTACTACAAAATCTGCAGAAATTTCAGGCATTTGGCGGATCGCTGCAAGCACCAATCTCGCCCTCGCCAGACCAATCCGAGCACCTGGTCTGGCCGACAAGACGCACGAGGCGACGTGCGTCCAGCCCAGGGGTATCAACCCCCACCCGCGCGCAACCTGAACCCAGCGGTTCAGCATCAGCAGTAGTTGCAGCCGTCATCGACTGCCCCAGTACGCAACGTCATGAGCAACATGGCCATGACAGGCGAGTCGCGTCGTCGCCGCGTGCGCTCACCTTCACCTGAGCCAGCACCGCACCCCATTGGCGCATTCAACAACAACAACCCATTCAGCCCGCGCCACGACTTCACCGACGACGACGACCAGGACTGGAACCTTCCAGTCCCGCTGCTTGAGAGTCCCCCGCACGTACCTGATATGCGGGTGGCGCCACTTGATTGGCTCTCGCGCGAGCAATTTCTGAAGTTCGACACTCCGCACATCGTCACGCCGCGACTGGCGCTGCTCGCACGTGACGACAACAAGCGCTACAACACTTGGTACCTGGACAGCTGCTGCGGCCAGCATATGGTAGGCTCCGAGCGTTACATATCCAACGCCGTCGCCACCCCTACCGTCACCTACGTCACCGTGGCGAACAACACGCGCCTGCGCGCAAGCGCGCAAGGCATCGTCGTGCTTAAAGCACGCGGAAGCCGCACGCACATCACGCTCAATGATGTGCTGATCGTCCAGAACCTGCGCTTCAACCTCCTGTCCGCCGCACAGCTCATGGATTGCGGCGTCGACCTCAGCACGGATCGCGCGACGCGCGACATTCTGCTGCACTA